GGTGTGTGTGTGTTCACTGCTGTGTGTGTGCACTTTGGATGGGTAAACGCAGAGCACTAATTCCGAGTATGGGTCACCATATTCAGTGGTGAATCTGATTTTTATATCACAAATCACTCCATTTGTTTGGTAATCAGCTTACTGATGATTCTTTGTTTTGTTTTGCGATGATTGTAAATGTGGGTGAGCAGAAACCTTCCATGCTTGACGTGAGTCGTGAGATGGGCTCCAGTGTGGCCCTGTACAGCAGGAAGGTTCTGATCCAAACCAAAGCCACAGACATCCTCCCCAAGTGGCTGCGCTTCCTGCGAGGTCAGATGAGCATCCAGATAAATGCATGAATACACTGCTACAGGAAAGTGCTCTAATCAGGTACAAACCTGCCTGGAATATGATGTTATGCCTTCTGCATTGTGCAAAAAAACAAAAATACACAACATAACATACTCTATTCTTTCAGGAAACTGCGGGATGTTTTACAGCAGCGGGTCATTCAGTTCCCGTTGGACCAGAGCAAGAAGGATCCGGAGAAATACGCTCGCTTCTTTGACGACTATGGGCTGTTTATGCGCGAGGGCATCGTGGCCACAGCAGAGCAGAGCGTCAAGGTACGAGACGCCTCGTTTGGCCTTCTTAATCAGCCCGTTTCTCTCTGATTGTTTTCAAACTGCTGATTTATGTCGTCACAGGAAGACATTGCTAAGCTGCTGCGCTTTGAGTCGTCAGCGCTTCCTGCGGGACAGCAGACCAGCCTGATGGAATACGCCTCTCGGATGAAGGCGGGAACGAGGAACATTTACTATCTGTGCGCACCGAATCGCCACCTGGCCGAACAGTCACCGTACTTTGAGGCCATGAAACAGAAAGATATGGAGGTTACAGACTTAATGGTCACACTATTAAAGAGCCAATGGGTCATGAATCTACAAGTTGATGCGACGGCTGATGCAATGCATTGCAGATTTGCTGGAAACAACTGCTAATTAATTTGCAATTAAAAATGTACTCCGTTCACTCCGATTTTGAAAGCATAAAATGTGCATTATCTATTGACAAGGCTGTTGGTAGATTTTGAGATGAACATAAGGGGGCGCTAACACTGCCGTTAATCTCAAAATGGCCAAATATATTGATCAGAAACTAATGGAATGCTAAAGATGCATTGATTAAATCAGTTTATCTATTTTGTTGTGACCACAACATGGCAAAAATTATTCTATTAAATTTTCTTGGGATCTTGACTTACAAAAACTTGTTTTCTCAAGGTCTTAATTTTTTTATCTTAAGAAAATAGTGCTGTTCAGAAGGTGCTTAATTGTAAATGTTTAAACAACTACATGGAATTTAATAATATAATAATTTTATATTGTACTTTTAATAATATATTAATATATAAATATGGAATAAAGAAAATAAAAATAGTTTATTTAATCTGTCTGTTATTTTGCACCACAGGGTAAAAAATGGGAGATCTTGCTTAATATTAAAATCTCATCACTTTAATTAAGACAAAGTCACTGTTCCTAATCAATATAACAGTATATAGTAAATTAATAACATTGATAAAAACGTGATTTTTAACCTCTAACCTTTAAAAGAACAAACTCCAATTAAAATATTTTTGTTTTATTTAATGCTTCTTTACTATTGATTTATTCTATTAATCATTCTGTATTTATTTTTCAATATTTATAATATAATACTTATTTGATCCTATATTGGTTAAACATTTAAAGTCAAACACGAGGATTTCTAATAGGACAAAAAAATGTTGTGGTTGAGATCATGAAATTTGAAAACATACAGAAAATATGTTGTCATGTTGAGAAAATTGAGTAGCAGTCAACAGAAGAAAGATGTGTCTGTTTCTGACGTTCTGTCTCTTCCTGCAGGTCTTGTTCTGCTTTGAGCAGTTCGATGAGCTCACGCTGCTTCACCTCAGAGAGTTCGACAGGAAGAAGCTCATCTCAGTCGAGACCAACATAGTCGTAGATCACTACAAAGAAGAGAAATTTCATGACAGCAAACCAGGTAAGACATTGCATTGTGACTGTACTGACTGATGTTCTAATTACCTCTCATTATCCGAGACGCGTCTACAGTATACAGTGATTTCTGGATGTTCTTGTTTCCTCACTTCGCTTTGCCAACAATGATAATGTTAATTAAGCATTTAAACAAGTAAACCAAAGGACAATTATGTAAGAAGCCATAAGATGAGCCGGAGTCACTGGTGCTGGGATTGTGTTGTTCAGCATCTGAGCGACTGACAGATGATCTGATGTGCCTGGATGAGGAATGCACTCGGACAAAGAGTCACCAACATCAAGGTAGCCACATGTACATGCAAAAAAACAAAACACCAAACATTGTAACTTTTAACAAACGTTACCTTCTTGTTCATTGCTTTTGCTCCCATCAAAAAACTATGCCAGCAAATTGTATAAAGTCAAAATGCAATTATATATATAAAAAATGCATGTACATGCTATGAAAAATTTATTTAGATTATATTATTACATTATACATATTCACAAAATATATTTTTGAGATTTTTGAATGCGCCTGTTACATCATTTAACAAATATATTATAATATTTTTTTCATGTATACATTTTCATTTAGTATTTAGCAATGTGTCTGGTTTCTTTCTTCTCAAATAATAATTTTAAACTCAAATCAGTATTTCATATCCATTTATTTATTTGTTAATCAACCATGTAATAAATCCGAATCACCCTTTGTATATTATAAAATAATATCTATTAAACAAATAAATGTTTAATAGATGAAATAATTTATGCAATTAAATGCATTTTAATAAAAACTTAAATTACAGTATCCAATATACATAATTTGAAAAAGTATTTTAAAATTAGTATTTTACATATAAATACATATTTTAAATTTGTATTAGCCTGTTACAATAATTATATATATATATCAATATAATTTATTTATTCAGTTATACATTTAGTATCCAGCAGTTTGTCAGATTTTTTTTCAGTCAATATTCCATGTCCATTTAATTATTTATTTGTTTGGTAACGGCCATGTAATAAATCCGAATCGCTCTTTGTATTACAGTTATGACCAAGGTGCC